GCCCGGTACCAAACGACTCACGAGGCCCGGGGGTTGGGGACCGCTGCACTAATGGACAGCCCCAACAGGATAGGGACAATAGGTTTTGACTGAAGCTTAATATTAATCTGTGTATCTGGAGTCAGTGTTGTGCAGCAGATCACAACAATTTCACACAAAATTAAAACATATATTAAATTTCACTTTCAAATCAGATTTAATTCAATTTTAGTCTCAGTGGTTGTTTTACCATTTAGATGTCTTTTAGATCTATAATAAAGAAAAGAGTAAACATAACTCTACAACTGATGTTAGGTAAAATTCAGGTCTCTGTGAAAGCCTTAAAATATTACTATCCATCTTTAATTTTCCAGACATAATAAAATGCCTTTTTCTTTTTCCTTTCTTCAAAGACCACAACTGGCCAATCAGATCAAGCCCACAAAACAAAGTGCACGGATGTCTGGTGTTCGGTGTGTAGTGGATATGACGGATCTCACTGCATCTGGTGTTCACTTTCATTCTGTTTCTAAAGAGGGTTGTCTGGATAATGTCATGTAATCAGGAGGCGTTGGTAATAAGAGGCATACTAATTACTTTGATTCAGTGGAGTATCTGATCAAATCTCAGTATGCAAATCAGGTACTAGGTTGAGCTAGTAGCATCGTCAACAAATATGACACATCCTTATGTGGCTTCAGCGTGTTGTCAAGTTTTCTTTCACCATGGAGGGTGAAAGAAGACTTTAATCAGGCTTTGCAGTTGGTGCTTCACATAACAGTTGACGAGTTGACACAAACAAATATTTTGTACTGTTCTGACCTGGTTTTGCATGAATCAAAGCCAAACTATGCATAGAAAACCTATAATTACAAAGTTAAAAACAAATCTCCTTTATAGAAATATTTTATTTTAGGCAGCTTTCAAAACATTTGAGGTAACCTTATATAAAAACATCTAGAAAATATATAAATATATAAATATAAAATCATAAAGAAAAGAGGATTTGTGAGACAAATGGATGATGATCAGAGTCTTTATACTCGTTTTAACCCTTTAAGACCTACCATAGAACCAAGTCCGCCAGAGTTTATATTATAATTTTACATGCTGTGGAGCCATTTTTGGGAGCATTTCAAGTTGTAATACATCAATACAACCATTACAGCCTAACTTTTAATAATATGTCTGCATTAAGTTCATAGTAATTACATAAATTGCAAAAAAGTGCAATAAACTACAAAAAAATTGAAAATTGTTTTTGTTTTTTTTCATATATTTCTAGTTAGAGAAATTTAAGAGGCTTATCCCTCAAAACTGTAAATACAAAAAAGTTGCACAAAATAGTTTCCTACCACAGGAAATTTATTTTGAGTGTCTTCATAGTTTTATTTTTGAAATACACCAATTTTTATATACTGCAGGAAAAAACGAAAATAAATATTATAGTGCAAATTTGCAAAAAAGCAGCATATGCATCAAAATAAACTATTTCCAGCAGTGCAATATGAGTCCTAAGCATCCCAGAAACAACACAGAAAGTCATAAAGTCAAACATAACTTTTAAAAACACCAGTATAGGCTCATGAGGCCCTGATGGTAAAAAACTACATTTCCGCGAAAATGACGTCACTTTCGGGCAGGTCATGGCAGACATGCGATAGTTCATGCTGATGGAGTAGGAAGTGTTATGAACAGCCAACTGGATCAGCAAAGCGTGTTTCTGGAATATTATGTTTTTGTTGCTGCAAGTGCTTTTTATGCAGTTTTTGCAAAGCTATATGTGGAAGGAAACTGTGACCGAGGACAAGCTGATAGCATAAGATGTAAGTACAACTCCTCCGGTTTCATATGCAAAAAAAAATTATTGCGCTAGCTTACGTGGTTGCAGTGCTACCGGGATTTAAAAATAGTTATGCAAAACGGAGCGTGCTGCTCTGACCGGTTTTAAAGGGCTAAGAGATGCATTTTAAGATGGGTTTTAAATGTGTAGCAGTGTAACAGATGTCTGGTAAGAGGGAGTACCACAGGCAGAGGATAGAGCAACTGAAGTCTTTTGACCCCATGGTAGTCAATGGGTGGATGGTACGGTGAGATGGACAGAAGAACCAGAAGGCCTGAGAGTGCAAACAGGTGTGTTGAGGTGCAGAACTTCAAAGTGGTAGTCTAGAGAAAGGTTGTGGATTGTTTTAAATGTGAGAAATAGAAATCAATACAATATTCAACAAGGACCCAGTTAAGTTGCTGAATGATAGACTTTATGTGGCGAACGATGTTGATGCAACTAGCAGAGTTCTGAACCAGTTGGGATGGACTGGACGGGAAGACCAAAGAGACGAGACTTATGATCAATAACTGATGTGTGAATGAGACCAAATGTGGTACCTGATGTGAGAAAAAACAGAGAAACGGTCAACGGTTTAGTCTTGGCAAGGGGGATTTGGTGTCAAATAAGAGAACCGTGGTTTATAAAAGTTCCTGGAAAACTAGGATCTGATTTCTTGGAGGCAAACACAGAGGGAGGTGGATGAGAGAGCAGAAGTAGTTTTTTATTGGACAGGTAGAGCTGTGTGTCGTCGACATAGCAGTGGAAATGACATCATATTTATGAATGATATGGCCAATAGCAGATGGACAACAAACAGAAGGGCTCGGGAGATCATTAGTAGTAATTAAAACTGGCTAAGATGAATTAATGAATTAATGAATATGAATTAATGATGAGGCCTGTTTAAGGGCATGTCAATGATTCCCATAGAGATTTGTCTTTCAGCAAGTATGCTGTGAGTTTTAGTGTTACAGAGCCAGACATGGATGAGAACGCTTAAGAGTCAAATACAACACATTTAACCTTATCCACAGATTCCTTGAACCCGCAGAAGCCCCGTTTGAAGCCCCCGCAGCCTGTGAACCCCTGATATTTTAAAGCCTGGGTTCGTACCTGCGTGGCTCATCCCTCCACCCCTGTGGCCGGATGGCAAACAAAGCCTTTGGAAGCCCCTCCAGACCCAACCCGGATAGGGCTGGTCCCACAGCAAACCACATATGGCTGGGCCCGGCCTGACCCGCTGCCCAAGCTGCCCGGAAAATGAGCTCAGCCTCTTCCAGGGAGCAGTACAGAAGGCGGACCTGGAGGAAGAGAAAAAGAGGAAGACAGTTACTGCAGTGGGTGGATGAGAGAAGGAAGAGAAGAGAAGAGGCAGAAAAACAAGATTTTTCTTCCTCCCCATTTCTTGCTGCGTGGCCCTATAATACACTTTCATGATTTCTTTACTAAAATAGATTATATTCAAGTATAAATCAAGACACTTGGTACACTTACACATTCATACTTCACTTTATTTTTTCAGAACACAGTAAACTGCACTTGAAAATTGATGCCTCTTGGTCTGCTTGCATTTTCTCTTCATACATTATTAAAAAGGGGGAATTGAATCGAGGGGGGGGGGGGGGGGGGCAACATTAAAGAGACAAAGTGAGAGTAAGAAAACACAAAACTCGAGGAGTGCGAGACAGAGGACAGCAGCTGTGTGTGTGGTTGATGAGGGCACTTCAGATGATTACTCAGGAAGCACTTTGGGAGAATTTGCGCCACAGTTTTGTAAGACAATTGAAGAGGTTATAAAACTGAAATTAGCCAAAACCAAAATGTGAAGTGCTTTACTAACACGCAGTGAGAGCAGCAGGCGAGTAGTGTGTGGATCCTGCCACATGCTGCACATTCACCGCCGAGGATGGCGAGATGACGCTGATCCCTCCTACTCGGTTGACAGCAAATGGGATCAAAGTCGGCATGAGGTCCATGCTCACACTCAGTCTCTATCAATCACATCCTCTGAACAGTCAGCATATATTTAGCCTTCATATGGCATCTGCAACCTCGAATTTTATCACTCTTTCTCTGAAATTAAAAGTGTTCTCCTCCTCTGATTTTGGAGAAAGAAGTTGACTTCCCTGCTTGCTGTCATCCCTCACAAAAAGATGTAATTTGTTATAATTTTCTCCCATCAATCACTTTGTTAGCACAGGTGACTCATTTTTCAAACGTTGGACATCTCATTTTGGAAGAGAACATTTCATTTAGATCCCTGTGGGTCGTCATATTTTATCGTGACAGAGCTTAACTGCGTCAACATCCAGGTCGAAATGAAAGTCCCCTACAAAAATAGTGAATATACACCATATATATGTGTGTATACATATACACACATATAATCATATTTTTTGGCAGTGCTAGTATGAGTAATTACTACATGACTTACCTACATACTAATAATCTCAGCAGTCAAAAACAGCTTTCATCTACCTTAGCAGGACTACTTGGATGCCAATGCACTTTTATTTATTATGAAACAGTTAACATGTAGTGACAATCCTCTGTGTTAAATACAACATTTTAACAGGTTTCAGCTCATTGTTTAGGTTTTTCAGTTGCTCTTACCATTCTTTACTCTCACTGTGCACTGGATATTCTACACATTACACCTACAGGAACTGTCCAGCTATGAAAAGCCCTGACACAACGCTCCCAGCACACAATGCTTCTGCTGTTGTTAATGCTAGAGGAGGTTTGGAGTTAGGTTGTCCAGTCAGCACAACACTGTCCCTCAACAACCCCGCTCTAGCCAGAGTTTTCAGGTGACGTCAAAGCTACTGGGACACGCCCACTTGCCGGCCAAAATAGTACTCTGGTCCTTTGCTCGGCAGCCATCCTTTGAACGTCTTCAAGTTTAACTTAACCAAAATGCCTGATAGTTGCTGTCCTATCGGATACACTAATCACGCCAATCATTGCTTCTCCACAGCGACCCTGGCTGTCAGCGGCGGCTCATTAAACTATAGGAATGATACTCTGTCAGCTTTACTGTTATGACACTGTAAATGTCCAAGTCAACAAAACTAAAATTTACGTGTGGTAGCCCGTTTAAGATAGCTATGTAGTGCTTTACTTTACTAATAAATGAACAATTCCTTGTTCTTCACCTCCAACATAGTGGCATTATTTACCCATCCAGATTAAAAATACATGGAGCTGTCCATACTGTGAAAGCTTTCATCCTGGCAGCAGGTAAAGTGAGCAAATCTCTAGAAGATACCTGTAGATGTCACTAAACTCCAGCTCTGGGAAAGACATCGCCAGGGATTTAAATAAAGCTGATGAGCAGAATATGGATCACCAGAGTTCCCAAATTTGATTTTTTTCTTCATGAGATGAAAAGGAGAGGTGAAAAACCCTACTTTACTCCAGCAGTACTATCTACTGTTTATGCTTTGCGATAAAGGTGGAGCCCTGCTTTGTCTGCCAGGGCAGTGAGTCGGTCACGTGACTGAAAATGATGGATAACTTTCCAGTGAGCTGGTGTGAGTCTTAAGAGCACTTCCACTTTGCTGAATTCCTTCACACCTTGATAATCAATGATCAGCAGTAAGGGATATTATTGCAAACTGACTTCTTGCACTATTGCATACTATTGCAGTACTACGCTTGAATCCATTGAGCCCATTCTTTTACAAATGTCTGCAAAGGTGATTTTACTTGACAAGTTGTTTGGCACTCTGCATTGGCTTCATAGCTGAGTTAGACAGACAGATGTGGTAGTTGCTGTTCAGAGGGTACATTTGTCCAGCAGCTGTGTAACGAGCTCACTGGGATGTTGTGGAGTTATCGGTGAACAAACGCTAATATGTCATTGTGAACATCAAGAACTACAGCTGTTGAGATCTGGGCTTTGAACCGACTTACTTTCAAACTTTTTTGCAAATGATATGTTTAAAACTAGCGTCAAATGCTAATGACTGATCAAATTCAATCAGCCCTTGATCTCTGTCCATTCCCAATGTAAAGTCAGATCCATTAAATACTAATATAGATCCATAACAATGGAGGCATCACCCCTTCTGCCCACCACATCACTCCTGTCCTGCAGCAGCTTCATCGGTCAAATATCGCATCAATTTCAAAATACTCTTGTACACATTTAGGCTATTCATCATCTCTCTCCTCCATATCTCTCTGACCTGGTTAAGATCACCGCCCCATCTCGTTGTCTCAGATCTTCTTCTTCCCTTTCACTCTCCGTCCCTTCCCCCCGTCTTGCAACCATGGCGAGCCGGCCTTTCCGCTGCTCTGCTCCACGACTCTGGAATTCCCTACCTCCGGATTTAAGAAACATCTCTTCCTTCTCTCTCTTTAAGTCCAAACTCAAAACCCACTTGTACAAAATAGCTTATCCCACATAACCTCTCCACTCTGCTATTTTATTTGTTTATGTCTTATGCTTTTATGATTCTGTAAACTTCTTGCTTTTATGTTGCTTTTATTCTACTGTGTACAGCGACCTTGAGTGTTTTGAAAGGCGCTTTCAAATAAAATGTATTATTATTATTATTATTAGAAATTATTGATGTGCATGTTATTGCAGACTTTAGGACATCAGAGAGGGGCCAATATAAACTTATCAGAAGTAGTGAACTTGGATTTTAAAATCACTGAAACTAACTCAGAAGCTGGTCTGAGTTGTGGTGTAACACTTTAATACCAATATCTCCTCTGGCTCCTGGTCAAGTCACACAATACTCACAAGATTTTTCTTACCTACAAATCTCTCAATGCTCTGGCACCTCAATATCTCTCTGACCTGCTGCAAACCATACACACAGTCTCGGATGCATTGGTCCTTCTGTTTTCTGTACCTCGCACCAACATCAGAACCTTTGGGCCTTCAGTGTGGTGGCCCCCACCCTCCAGAACTCTCTCATATATGAGTCCTTCAAGAAACTTGTCAAAACTCACCTCTAGGCTTTTTTAAAATTTATTTTTGCTACTCTTGTGTACAGTGTGATTTGGTTTCTTGAAAGTTATAATTATAATAATAAATGAAAAGTTAAAAATAAGCATTGCACGTTGCATTCTGTTGGTGCACTGCTCGGTTTGTAATGATTAGGCATGCAGAAGAAAAACAGCAAGCCTGCCGTCTCACTTACCAGTCAGTGAGATACAAATCCTCATCTTATGCCTGTGTTATGTTAATGTGCCGGCTTTGAGGTGAACAATAACCCATGCAGCACTACAGCTTCAAAGATCACAAAAAGAAAAAAGAAAAAGGAAAGATTAAAGGCAGGTCACCGAGGTATATTTATGTTTGGGAGTGGTGGAATGCTCCGGAAGCACTGCAGGCAAATTTTAATTACAGGTCTAAAGATATACAGATTGTTCACATCCAGATACCATCTGCTTGCGAGACATGTTAATGTATGATGAGAGAAACAGCGAGGAAAACAAGCGGAAGAAAAAAAGAAAAAGAGGGGGACCAAGAGCCAGGAAGAGCAGTAATAAAAGCCTCAGTGGGAATATGTTGTTTATGAACCATCACAGTAAAGATTAACCTAATTAAATCAATAATTGTAGCATCAGGTGTGTTTGTGGAGAGCATTTGACTAGACACTCAGTCTATTTTACCATTTTGTAAATGCCATTCAGTACTAAACCTGCACTACAAAACCACTACAGAGACATTATGAGACAGTAACCTTTTGGATATCCACCAAAGAATTGAACATTTTGGGAGGATTACGCAAGTCCCACTAGCAGCATTTGGAAACAGCCCAGTGATGGTGGTGACAAGGTCTGAGCAACACTGCCCGTTACGAAGTGGAGAATTAATTACTGTGCAGTCTGTTGGCATAAGATCTGAAAACAGCAATCACTGTCTGGCAGATGATCACTTTTTGCCACAACACCTGGAGCTAGGGGGCAAAACAATCGCAGGAGTGCTGCTGTTTGGCTGAGGAAGAACATAGTAGTCGTGGTAAGCCAATCACATGACTACTTCAAGATGACAAAGCAACAAGTTAATATATACCAGTTTTTAAATTGTGAAGATAGGCCATGTAAAACCAGAGTCATGATAAACAATATATACGCGTTTTTTCCTCAATATTTTCATCACGTTTGGTGTCTAAGGACAACGCTAGCAAGCACTCTCTGCTTACGAGCAAACAAAAAAACAGACATTTGTGTTGGTGGAAAAATGCACCATGTCGACCAATCAAAAATGATATGGCAACATGACATTTGGTTGTTTAGGAAGAGGTGGAAGTTTTAGGAGTGACGGCGGGAGAGAGAGAGA